AGAATATTTGGTTGAGATTTCTAGTTATTTGTAAACAAAACATAAACCCATACTATTCTTAGAATATTAGTCTGATGGCAAATTTTGCATGTCAGGTTTGACATAAGTGCATGTTTAATTAAACAAAAGCAAAATTATTTTAAAATTCAATAAGTTTCCCTACTTTTAACATTTAAATATACTTTGGTATATTTTTTTCCAGCTTTATTGAAATATGATTGACATATAATATTGCATAAGTTTAAAGTGTACAACATGATGATTTCCACGTAATGATTTTGATGACTACCACATAAGTTTAGTTGGTTACCATAACCATCATATTACATAGTTATCTTTGTGGTGAAAGCCACAAAATTTGTTCTCTTAACAGTTTTCAAGTATACAATATGATACTGTTAACCATAGTCATTATATTGTATTTTAGATCCTCAGAACTCAGTAATCTTTTAACTGCACGTTTGTACCCTCTGATAATATTCACTCTTTTCTCCCATCCCCACCCCACCCTGGCAACTACCAGTCTACTCTCATAACAACATTTTTAGTACCCATGTTCCATTTACAACTATTTACAGGAAGCTGGACCAAAGTGACTAGGGTGCCTTTCTCAGATCCTAATATCTCATCTTCCATCTGTAAATGAGAACACCCAACCTGTTAGCAACAGGTGCTAAGGTAAGGGAAAGCTGAGGAAAACAGAACAGTAATGAATTGCCAAGATGAAAGGTCTCGATGAACTAGCTCTGATGGCTGCCTGTAACCCCCTCCCCTGGCTGCGGAGGGCTGTGCTGGGCAACGTGAGTCACTCTTAACACTGATCACTCTTACCCTCATCCTTAAGAGCAAAAAAGTCTCCTTTTCACATTCTTGGAAACAGCAACTTACCCTTTATAACAGGAGGTAGTTTAGGAACTGGTTAATACAGCTGATTCTGGATTTATCCTGGTAGGTTATATCCTAGATCTATCACATACTTGTTATTTGAACATGGGCTTGACACTGAACCTCATTTAGGCTCCGTTTCTTGCAAAATATAGCTAAAAACAACCTGAGTGTAATGTTTTGACTATTAAATATTATAATTAGGCACAGAATAAATTCATAATAAATATTGATTATTAAAAGAGCTTTATAATATTCAAACCTTTTCACAAGCTATGAGCCCATTTATTTTTCCAACAATTCTAAGTGGGACTGGGTTTGTATTAGCTTTGTTAGTGAAAGTTGCTCAGTCGTGTCCGACTCTTTGCGACCCCATGGACTATAGTCCATGGAATTCTCCAGGCCAGAATACTGGAGTGGGTAGCCTTTCCCTTCTCCAGGGGATCTTCCCAACCCAGGGATTGAACCTGGGCCTCCCGCATTGTAGGTGGATTCTTTACCAGCTGAGCCACAAGGGAAGTCCTAGGTTTGTTAGGGATGAAAAAAAATAATTTATAGATTAACACCAACAATCCTATATCTGGACCAGAATAAGTTAGATGTTTCAATGAATACATAATATTTGCCTCCACTGAATACTCATCAGTAAATACATACATTTATTGGGAATGCTATATTTCCACCTTGTCCATTAAATTGAAAGTTTAAGTCTTCCCAAACACATGATCAATTGTTGCTGTGAGATTTGCTATTGATGAGTTTCTGTCAATGCATTCTGTACCTCTGCAACTTTTTTTTTAATGTCGCCTGCAGTATATTGTCAGGGATGACCTGACTGAGTGAAGACTACAACAAGAATTAAAATTTAAGCAGCACAATGACACATACTCAAAGTCTCATCACCTCAGAGCAATCCCGACATACCAGCTAAGGCATGCATCATGCAAAATATTTGCTTAAAGTGAAGATCTTTTAAAATCTAGGCAAATGATCATCTCATTGCTTATCTACTTCTGTTATTTCATTTGGTTGTAGTTTTGGGCAACAGGTGTTAAATCTTATTTATATTTGCAATTAAACTTATGGTGGGTTTCACTTCCTACACTTGCAATTCTGTCAGGCGATGTTCTAAAGTATCACTCTCTGCAAGCAAAGAATGCTTAGAACCACCCAGAACAATAGCTTTAATGCTCAGTTGTCAGCATAGCTGTGTGTTTGAAAAGGATACTCATAGAAAATCCATGGGGCAAGGGCATATCAGGCAAGCCATCCTTCAGAAAATATCAAAGGTTTACTGTCAGAGCAACCAAAGAAATGTCCTAAACAAATAACCAATAAAATAGGAAATCAGGTTGGAAAACACATTTAAGAAATTGATAAGACCAATTCATACTGTTCACAGTTTATGGAGAGTCAAATATATGGCTAGTAACATAACTGGGATAGTATTGAGGGATTAAATAGTATGATTGCTATGATTATATTACACAAAGATAGTTCCACTTAAACTTCAGCCCTACTCAAATTATAAAGAACAACTAGATTTCTAATCTTATATGATTTATGAAAGACAGTGTAAAATCCAATTAAGTTTTTTTCCTTTATCAAGTTTTCAGAAAGTTAATGAATGCATATAATAGCTCTATTAATTTTTTTAAAGTTCATTTTCTCTGCTTGAAAAAAGTTTATAACTTATATGAGGTTATATATCTAGAAATATCATTGAATGATTAAAAGCATCATAATATGAAATGTTTTAGTGCACATCTTAATTAATCTTTTTACCTATTGGGATGAAATTATATTTTATAAATTTTTCAAGTTGCATCATATTCTTTGGCTACATTATCATATGTATAAATATGCACTGATTTCATATTGTTGAATACATATCATTAAAGCCATTTAAAGTCTTTTACAAAAATATGTTTCAATTCTGTTTTTTCTTTCTTCTCTTTCTATTAAGAATGAGCTCTCTGAATGAAAGATAATGTTTTTTCGTTTTTTCATTTAACGTCCCTTTTTGGTTTATGTCCCTTATTAAAATCCATCACCTCTCTCATTCTACAATGAAATAGTGAAGATGGAGTATATCCTATATCCTATCCTTACAGAGACTCTCTAGGAGTATTTCTTTTCTTTTTTTTTTCTTTGTACTAGCTCATGGTAGCATTAATTCAAGATACAAATGAAAAGATAAACCAGTTTTCAAGATACAGAAAAGCATCACTTTTTGGCTACAAAGAAGCAATCAGTTTAATTTTTGGATTTAAAAAGTGATTCCTTACTTGTCTTTTCTTGGAGACTTTTACCTGACCAACTAAAATTTTATTTATTTACTTATTCTTACACAGTTCCTTGGGGAAGAAAATTAGTGCCTGTTTTCATTACTGGGATACTTCATTTTCTCTTTAAGAAGGCACATTTTTTCCTTTCCAAATGCTTGTAGTCCCAGATACAAAAGGGTGATATTGTCTTATAAATCACAATAAATATAAAGAGGAATTGCTTTGACAGTGATTCATATCTTTAGTGTTAAAATAAAATGGAGAGTCAAAGAATAGAGGCAGTTGAAATTTTTGTAGTGTCTGTAATCTTGCTTATTGTATAATGCAGTCAGTGTGCATGTATAAGATACATTAACTAGTATTGCTAGAGATGAAAAATTTTATTTTCTCCTAATGAACTGTATGCATACAGTCCTCAAGATAGAAGAACATTTATTGGAAGACATAACATTCATTTCTTCTCCTAAGTGGATATTCATTAAGAATAGTTCCTAACCAATATTAGATTCTAAGATGAACTTTTTTCAAATGTGACTTCAGTGACTTACAAACTCAAGATAAAATATCTATGATGAACTCCTTCTACTATGAAATATAAAATTTCATGTTTAACTGGACTACTGTAAAAATTTTAAATCTATTTACTTAATATTTTCACATACAGTTAAGGGTAATCTAATTCAATATTTTAAATATCTACAATTATACTAAAATAGTCAATGAATTATTTATTTATAGGTTAGCTTGACTGTTGCAGGTAAGTAACATATTAAATACTAACAAGGATTAAGTTAGCAAAATTCAGATTTATTAAGCATAGAGCTTTTGGCTTCAGTGAAATGATCACCTCCTAGGCATTTTCAGCTACTAGTTTTCCATATAAGGCAGGGTTCCCTTGATGAAGATTTTCAAACTGTCATTTGGACCAATCAGAGCCCAGTGAATGAAGGGCCAGTGCACATTTGATAGGTCACATCACTGAGAAGTAGCAGGCACATCCATAGCATCAATTTTCCAAAAGCAGATAACCTTTCATCAGTTGAGAACTTTGATCACAGCAAAGTTTTTGACACAAAAATCAATCACATTCTCCTTAGTTCAAGATCAGTATGCAAGGAAGAGCTCAAAGACATAAGCTCAAAGCCATATAACTAACAAGTTTTACAATATTGGTGGTAGGGGGGTTAGTTTCATTTAGCAACAACTCACATTCTGCATTAAATGCTGTATATAAATAAGCAAGATGACAGTTATAGTCACTGAAACACTTGAGTGCATAGTTGTCTGCACTGAGATCTCATTTAGTGTTGTATCAAATTTTATTAAGCAAAGCTGAAGGGGGAATTAACCCGAGTTGCAAATATCTCTTTTTCAGATGAAATAAAGCAGCTGTCAAGCAGCTAGGACAACTGGGTCATCAGCTGTTTTTAAACTTTTGGAAACAAGTAGGGACTAAAACTTTCTTTTTAATGTAGCTTTAAGGAAGAGTTCCAGTTTCCAGAGATTTTATTTAAAAAAAGAAACCATTGGCTTAAATGTTTGTAAAACATAGACTTTGACAATTGAGGGGAAAGAAGAAACAGAAAACAAAGAGTACAGCAAATACAGGTTTCAAATATAATGCCATACTCATGATAATTTTACTGAAATTAGATGCTACAGTTTTGTTTTAAATTTTTTAAAATCAGGATTCTCTTCTATCCAGATCTATCAGTTTGCTTAGTAATTCCATTCCTCTCAATGAAAAACATGCCCCTCTTCAAGTCCCTAGTGTTCCCCACTCTTAAGAGATGTTTCAGTGACCAAACAGTTCACCCTTTTTGTTACCTTGATGGCAGAGAGGTCAATCTTTTCTTCTTTGGGTGGAGCAGGTGCAGGTGCTGGGGCAGGGGCCGGGGCCGGGGCGGGGGCAGCAGCAGCAGCAGGTTTCTTTACATCCTTCTTTGGTGCCATTTTGTTTAAAAGGATGGGTTAAAAAAAAAGAGAGAGAAGGCGCACCTCCAAAAGAACCTGTCAAAGTGATTCTTGGAAGAAAAGTGGTGGTTTGCTTGATCCACAGCCCAGTGTCTTGAAGGCAGACCCACAGTGTTAAACGGTATAAGGGCATGCATATATATTTCACTTAGTGCCTAACAGAATCTTGACACTTGGAGCTGGATTGGACAGTTCCTTAGTCCAGGGGGATGGCATTCCGGCTCAGACTATAAATGGAATCAAAAGGGTCAGGGCTTCATCAATTTTTTTTAACTCCTCTTGCTTTCCACCCCACCCCCACCACCTCCATATATAAAGGAGAAAGAAGTATGACAAAGCCAGCCAGCTTTAGATCCTTTGCTGACAATAAGTAGATTGACTGATACTTTCTCTTCATAGAATTACAGTTCTGCTGAAGTTGTAAATCATTTTTTTTTTTCCTATGCCTAAGAAACTTAAGTGAAGGATTTGGTTTCAACTTGGAATTCTGGCAGAGAGTATCACCAACTTTCACCCAGCTTCTTTGCGCATGCTCCTCCTCCCTTGCCATAGTTTGCAAGAAAATGTTTGTCAGCAAAGAGGTAGTGGTGTTTAAAAATAAAAAGCAGACGTATAAGGAAAGCCCGTTAAGTCTTAAAGTGACTTCCCTTCTAGGGAGCACACACTCTGACTCCCTTTCTCTTAAACTGTGGTGAACAGTATGCTAAAAAGAATAATTCAGAGCTCCCTCTTTTTTCTATAATGAAAAATATCAAATGGGGTGGAAATAACAGGAAGATTTACCCTCTTTCCAACCACTTTTTGTAAGAGTAAAGTAACTTTCAATCACAGTAGATGCTTAATCCATTTTACTTCCTAAACCAAGGAAGCATTGGTTTAGAATTTAGAATTCCTAAACCAATTAGAACCAAGTCTAATTATTTATCATCTAATATTTTCATCCTTACTGGGGAGATAAGATGAAATTTTAAATTTACTTAAATGACCAGAGACATAAAGAGAGAAAAGGACTTTATCATTAAGTGGAAATTTTGGTGAGTAACTTGTAAGTTTTTCCTTTTCTGTCCTTGACTTTTTCTGTTTGCAAGACTAGACTCTCATATTAAGAAACATGATTAGCCAATGTACCATCCTCACTCCTGTTAATTTGTGAGATATCTAATTACTGAGTAGTTATTAATTAGTCAAAAAAAAATCCAGTAGCAAGTCTGAGATTTTAAAAAAGCATATTTACACATTGTTGTTCAGTTGCTCATTCACGTCAGACTCGAACTGCAGCTTGCCACACTTCCCTGTCCTTCACTATCTCACAGAGTTTGCTCAAGCTCAGGTCCACTGAGTCAGTGATGCCATCCAACCATCTTATCCTCTGTCACCCCTTCTCTTCCTACCCTTCATCTTTCCCAGCATCAGGGTATTTTCTAATGAGTCGGCTCTTTGCATCAGGTGGCCAAAGTAATGGAGCTTTTTACATATTATATATATTTACACATTAGATATATAAGATTATATATATAATTATATACTCATAAATATGTATACATATATATATATAACATGTAAACAGACTATATATATTCTAATTGTTGAATATAATTGTGCTTATAGATTTTAGCCATTTTCTTTTGGTCTGATTAAAAGCATTCTCCAACTTGGTCACTGTTCCTCTCCATAGCTAAGAAAGATTGAGACTCATATTAGCAATAATTCATTAAGTCATAGCTGACCCACAGTTAGTCTGATTTCACATGGTGGCCGGATCCACTGGATTATATTATCCACATAGGTTCAAGAGAAGCTTTTTTATTACTCCCTCCTCCTTGCTGCCCCACATCAAGGGTTCAGTCATTATCTAAATTATGCTACTCATTTCTTACAGACAAGAGAGTCATGAGAATCTGAATATATTTTACCTAGGAATATTGCTTGTCTAAAATTAAAAGAATTAGAATTCAAAAAATAATGCTATATTTATAATAGAAACTATTTTTGTAAAGAGCAGAAATTTTGTCCATCAGTTTGTTTTCCTTTGGATTATCAAAGAAAGTACTGAGTGATGGATATGTTCTTCCTTTAACTCACAGCCTGTATTAATACTTTGCTTCATGTGCAGAAATCCCTTAAAATCTGTGACAGGCTTACAAGTAAAAGAGCTTTATGGGCACTGAGCGAATCAATTTGAAATTGGAATAACTTATTTCATGTTAAAGGGGAAATGGCTTGATCTCACTATATGTCTAAATTCTTTTTTGTTATCAAGTAAATATCATGGTTTATGAATTCACAGAGGAAAAATATATTGGTGTAGAATTTTCTGCTTGGAAAGTGAAAATCACAAAGGTATAGTGTCATTATCATATCTTATCAAGGACACATGCTGTCAAAACATGACATATTCATGGTATTAATGTTGACCAAGAGGCTAAGATGGTGTTTGACAGGCTGTTCCTCAAAACCCATAACCTAGTCTAATCATGTGAAAAATTCAAGCCCCAATTGAGGGATACTATACAAAATTCCTGAAGAGCACTTTAAAAAACAGTCAAGATGATTAAAATCAAGGAAAGTCTGAGAAACTTTCACAACCTAGAGGAGACTAAGGAAATATGATGAGTAAATGTAATGTGGTATCCAAGATGGAATCCTAGAATAAAAAAGGGACATTGAGTAGAAACTAAGGAAATCTGAATAAAGCAAAGACTTAAGCTAATACTAGTATATTAGAATTGGTTCATTAATTGTGACAAATGTACCATATTAAACTACGATGCTAACAATAGAGGAAACTGGATGTGGAATACATGGGATCTCCCCTCAACTTTTCTATAAACCTACAACTATCCTAAAATAAACACTTGATTTAAAAATCCCAAGAATGAAAAACCCTAAAACTAATTCACCCTGAAACTTCAAAGAAAGGAATGGTAAGATTTCATTCTACTTAATCAACAATCATTGTGTTTTGGTCAGGCATATTATAGAAGTGAAGTCCAAACATGAACACAACTTACAGAACTGAGGCCTTTTCTGAAATGGTTAGTCTATTGGATATGATGTATATGTTACTTTGATAGATGTTACTAACCAGACAGAGAAATTATCTGTGGAGAAGGAAGAATTTAGAGCCTTTCTGCAACTATGATCTTGAGAAGTTTAATATAGTAATTAAAATCAAAGTGAAATTTCTCTCTTGACTCTTCCTTTTTAGAGGCCATGTGACAAGGTTTAATTGTAAGGAGAAAGAAGGGCAACAGCTGAAGAGTCATGTTCTCAGTGACAGCTGATTTGCCTGTGAGCAGATCTCCAAGTGTTCTTCATGCTTAACTGTACCATTTGCTGTATAAGTTTTTTTGAGGCTTACCAAAGTGCAGGGGAATGGTAGAGAAGGAATACATTCACTACTAAAGATGGACCGTCACATCTGACCTTCTAAACCCTTTGTATTTTTTTTTTTTTACTACACAGTCAAGATTTGATATACATCAATCTTTTTCTTATGTAATGGTGTAGGTTTTTAGGTTCTTTTGGACTAAGATAAAGTATTTGTTTTCTATTTGGAAATTTAGAGCCTGGGAAATGAGAGGAAGCAGTATTTCCCCTTCTCTGTCCTGGTCCTTATAATACCTAACAAGCTCACCTACTGACCAGGCAGCCACAGGGATTTATTTATCACACATACTGATCACCTATAATATGCTAGGCACTTTTATAATAGCATTCGTTAGGGCTTACTGGGTGAACAAGATGGATTTGGTTCCTGTTCTCTTGGAGTTTTGCTGGAGATGGGGGCTGTGAAAAACAGTAATCAAGTAAATGAAAGGATGGCAAATTGTCACAAGTGATAAAGAAAACCAAGTGCTGTGAAAATAATTATTTGAAGTGGAGTGGACACCCACTTTTGTATCTGAGGAGATGACATTTTAGCTTAAAAGGAGACCATTTTATTGTACTTGATTTATACTTTTAGATTTTCTGAAATTTAGAGCAGGGGAAGTAATGATATTATAAAATTTGCAATTATATGGAATTTAACCATTTACAAAATGAGTCCAAAGTGTAAAATGTGTATATCCTTCAAATCTGCAATGCTAATTCTTCACAATTAGTAATGACTCTCCACCCTGGTTGGATATTAAAATTGCTTGTGGAGATTTTATTAAATTCCCATGCCTGGGTTCAAGAAATTCTTTCTTGAATTCTTTCAGAATTTCTTTCAGAAATTCTGATCTAATGGGTCTGGTGTGGGGAAGGGGCAGCGGAGCATGGGCAGCAGTATTTTTTTAAAAGCTCCACAGATGATTCTTACATAAAGCTAGTTCTGAGAAACACTAGCCATAGTGAAACACTCATGCATATGAACCAAGATCCTGTACAAGGGTATTATTATAGCATTGTTTCCAATAGGAAAAAGATCACAACAAAAATGCCTATCAATGAATATTGGTTAAATTGACATGGTCCATGTGGTGGTTTTCTATGCAGCTCCATGGGATAAGGAAAGATCTGTAAGAAATGAAAATAGCAAGTTGCAGAATATGATACCATATATGTAAATATATCCACAAAAATCTACATAATTACCTATGCATGCATAAATATATGTCTAGGTTGATTCCTGTTCAGACAGGTGAGAAATGAGTTAAAGGGACTGCAGAAATTTCAAGGGACTTCCCCAAAGGCCCAGCAGGTAAAGAATCTGCCTGCAAAGCAGGAGATGCAAGGGATGCAGGCTCAATCCCTGGGCTGGGAAGACCCCCTGGAGAAGGGCATGGCAACCTACTCCAGTATTCTTCCTGGGAAAATCCCATGACAGAGGAGCCTGGCTGGCTACAATCCATGGGGTTGCAAAGAGTCAGACGTGACTGAAATGACTGAGCATATACAGAAAGCTCAAGCTGAGTGCTGAAGGAGGGATCATAGAGAAAGATTAGGAAGACCACTTCCCATTACGCCTTTTCTGAACACTGAAGCAGGTTATC